GTGTCTCGCGTGTCTGCATCGGCTGTGTTAGCTCCCTGTGAGCTGGAGCTCAGTGTAAGTACCCGCCTTGCATCCTTGCTGCAGTTGACTGAGGCATGTGTTGTTAGAGAATCACACCCCGTGCCCGTCTGCTCCCGTTGAACGGAGACGGGCGAAAAAAAAATTGAAATTTGGGAACCGGGGTGGCTGCCGGGGACAGGCGCCCGTCTGCCCGTCTCAACGGGGAATACGGCCCGTAGAATGGGGGACAACGGGCAAATTCTGAAACACTATGTACATAAGGTAGTCTGTGACATTTTAAAGCCTCCTCTATAGTGCTGGACCCGTGCAGGCTCTTGCAAGATCTGATCAAGTACGCAGCCTTCTTGAGGGCTTCAATTTGAGCAGCTCACGTGCAAAGTGATTGCCCGATCACTTTTTCTCTCGCCCTTGCGCACTCTCGCTTACTCTCACTCTCTCTGGAATCTGTGTTGCAGTGTACAGTGAAGCAGCAGGTAGGAGGTATGGATAGACAGCTCCAAGCTGACACAACCCAGGCAAATGCCCGTATCAGATCCATACGGGGTGCTCAGGCGGCAGGCCTGCTGACGGGTCCTTGACGGGTGCCGGGACCCCGTCCTGTACCCGTTTTGCGCCCGTTCTGACGGGAGTGATTCTCTAGTGTTGTCCCTGACGAGTCCAGGGGAAGGGCCACAGGAAGTGCGTCGACAGCGGCATCGCTTTAGAGCGGACATGTACTATATATACGACAATTCCGGCAGTAAACTTCAACCAATTACAAAATGCGTTTGTGGTTTAGTGGTAAAATTGGGCATTGCCAGTAACAGCTTCTTCTCCTAGAAGCCTGTCTGAGTTGCCTAGCCCCGGGTTCGATTCCCGGCGAACGCATTTTTGCTGCCGGGGGGATGGACACGGCCCTGCCTGCCCGCCTTTTTGCACCGGCAGGGTGTTCCAAGTGGTGCATGCCACTTGCGCTTTGTTTGCTTGAACTCTCACTGACACACAAGCCCAGTGTCACACTTTGTGCCACACTAAAACTACTTGTAAGTCGGTGCAAGAGCATCCGCCTCTTGCCTCTTGCGTATCAACGGCAGACTGGGCAGAGTCCTGACTCAGCAGCTGACACTTTGCAGCTCCCAGGGCAGAGTACATCCTGTCCAATAAGATATAGCAGTATTGGCATCCAAGCAGATAGAGCAAGGAAGAGACCTAAAATGGGAAGTTACCAACAAGTGCAAAGACTCAGGATGAATGTGGGCCCAGCATGCAACGGCCAGAAGCGTCCCTCCAAGTAAGAGACATATAGGATGTGTACAATGTGAAGCAAATTGACAGAAATAGTGACTCAAATGTAGTAGAGTGGATACGAGCAAGGAGCGGGGAGTGCACAGGACAAATCTGAGCGAGAAGTCCACCATCAAGTTGCCAACACCATCTAAGTCCGGCAATGACGTTGGAAAGGGATCTCTCAGTCCCAAACACTGGGAACAAGTCAAGGGAGGCAGGCAAGGGGTTTACAGCTGGTCCTACCCTCAGCTGTATGGCGAGGCAAGAACTAAGGTCAAAGAGCAACTGCGACATCAACTTCTGCACATCGCTCCTGCACCTCCCCTCCACATTGCTCTGTCACCATATCAATCCACTGCATACATCCACTTGTGGTAAGGCAAGAGCCTTACAGACATCTCATGCTAGGCCTGCTCCTATGGATCTGTCCACCCTCACTCACCCCAAGTCCTTTTGCGATTCTAAGACCTTTTCCTCTCACATTTTTTTTTTCGAACCTTTGCTGACTTGATCCATCACAGATTATACTACTCAAGATCCAGATATGAGCAGTCAAGGCAACGAATGGATGGAAGGTGCTAATTGTTGGGTGATCAATCTTGGCAAAGCGAGGCGCTCCTGGAGTCCTGTTGTAGATCCTCTTCTTTCTTCACCTCACCATTCTTGACTCGTAGGCAGTGCTTGATTCAGTGTTGTTTGATTGTGCGTTTCATTATGCAACTACCGTCCGTTGCAGAGAACCCTCGTCTTGCTCTCGCTTGCAAAGGGAAGTCCCCCCAGCAAGTTTTGCGCAAGAAGTGTGCCTCAGAACACACGTGCTGAATAATTGGTGCAAGCTGGAGAGAGAGGCAGGCTGCCATGTTGCACTGTGCAGCACAGACCGTGAGTGAGATTTACAGGGATGTGGACAGAGCAGGCTATACCTCCGCGCACAATAGAACTGACTCCTGAGGATTGTTTACAGTGATTTCACTTCCTGTATCAGAACCACTGCGGATTGGTCAAAGTCAAGATTGCGTTGAGCAAGAATCTCGGGGTCTCGCAGCCTCGCTTTAAACTTTTGTGACGTGACAGTCTCTATCAGCTTCTGTGGCTATTGCTCTCATCTACACAATCCAAGCAATATGATGTGTGTCACTGATGCTTTTTGTCTGCAACTCCTGCTGGCAGCACTACCCACTGACCGGGAGTCGACGCGACACATAATCTCCCATTTGCGCTCAGATGCCAGTGCAACCCTGCACACCACCTTGCAGACCTCTGCACTCAGGCAGACATTTGACACTGGTCAGCTGACTGAGCCATGGTGTCAAAACAGAAGCTCTATGGTGCATTCCAGGGCCAGGGCAGAGAGCAGAGAGGAGGAGCGGAGCATCGGTCACACAGCTGGTGGGTTTACCGACGATTTTCATATATTGTAAAAAAGGCAAGTTTTCCATGAAAGCCCCTATGGCTCAGTGGCAGAGCGTTCGCCTAGTAAGCGAAAGGTCCATAGTTCGATCCTGTGTGGGGGCAGTTCTTTTTTGCTGTTTCTTTTGGGTTTCTTCTTCGCGCTCCTCTCTGCAGTCATGCGGCACTAAGCGCGACTCTTCTCTTCAGCTGCTGTAGCCGGGAGGTCTGCCATTCCATGGCGTACGAGCGGTGTTATTCTGTGCGCCGTGGTAGAATGCAACTTTTTGCGCAATGCGCAAAAAGCTTGAGAATATACAAGGGCGGGCCTTGCTGCAGTTTCAAGCTGTTTGAAGCTCGAAGGCTTGAGAGCAGGCTGCTCCTCGACTGGACCCGACGAAAAAAAAAAACGGCAAAAGATATGCCTTTAGAGTGGATCGAACACTCGACCTTGTCATTACGAGTGACACGCACTACCACTGTGCTATAAAGGCCGTGCTCAATTGAAAACAAAATAGCGTACACAACAGTGTACTAAGTTGGTCGGCGGGTGGTTGTGACCAAAGTGTGCAAATTGCGCGTACTCAAACTGCTCGGGAGGTCTATGCATCCAACCTCACCTCGAGAGGCAATACAAAACCTTGGAAGATGGGCAATAATCCGAATTGCAGACTCGCTGCGCTCAAAAAAGTCGCCCCAAGACGCTGTCAAGGTCGCCCTCGGACCGCTTCAGCTTCTTGCTCACGTCCACCACCTCCCTCTGCCGGTATTCGCGCTTCCGCTTCGCTCCCGCCGCGTTGTCATCCCCCCGAGGCTCCTTGGGCGCGACCTTGGACGCCTGCCGACCAGCCGCCTTCTCCTGGATCTTGCGCCCGACTCGCGCATTCTCGACGGCAGCAAGGTAAGATTCGTTCTCCTGCTTCGAGTGTGTGAGGTGGAAGCGGAGGAGGGACGATTGTGTAGCGCGCTCAAGGGCTGCATGCAAAGAAGCGCGTGATTAGCACACGAGCACGAGGGGCGCGAGGGTGCGATGAAAGGTCAACAACGCACCGACTTGCTCGCTCAACTGGTCCCAGCGGAACCGTGGCAGATACTGCATCGTCCAGACGTCGTCCTTCCAGCGCTTGCTCTGCCCGATCGGTTGAGCGTTGAGCATTTCCGCGACCGAACGAGCGACGCGCTTGTCGAGGAACTCGACCCAGCCCTCCTTGAAGTTGTGCGAGGTATGCCGTCCCTCTTTCTGCTTGCGTTGCTTGCCTATCATTCGGTTCCGGAAGCCGAGACGTCAGCGTACGCGCAAGCCCTGGGCGATAAAAAGCGTGCCGAGTCCTGCTCACCCTTCTCCTTGTCGGCGAGTTCCAGATAGATCCTTCCAATCTCACCGTACGCGCTCATGAGGTGGCGCACTTGGGCGGGTCCCATTCCCGGCGGTAGCCGCGAGAGATAGACGAGGCCAGGCTGCTTCGCCTTCTTACCGGTGACGAGCGCACGCGGCAACAGATGGTCGGGAAGGGTCGTCCGCGCGAGCAGCTCCCGTTCGTCCAGCTCTACGTCGTCGACTGCCTCAGCGACGCCTGCGATCTGCGCACCCTCGCCGTCTCGCTTCCGGTCGGAGTCGGCCGCTTCACGTCCACCGTCTTCCTGCTCGTCGGAAGCGTCATCGTCGAGCTGCAGCAGCTCTGCGAATCGGCCATCGACCTTCTGCTCGTCGTCGTCGAGAGTGGCCTTGCTCGTAGAGGCGCGTGGCGGATCGTCCTTCTTTAAAGCAGCAGAGCGGGAGGAGCGGCCTTTGCGAGGCTCGCGCGCGGTCTTCGGCATCCTGTCTGATCGGCGCGTGCTCAAGGGAAGCTGACTGTGCTAATCGTGGCTTGGAAGCTATGCCACTTGAGAACGTTCGCTGCCGAGCTCATCGCTCATTTTCATCAGCCGACGCGGAAGTCATCGCCGGCTGCGCTCTCCTCCGCTCTCTTCTCTATTGGCCCGCTCCCCGTGAGCGGTAGCGATACGTGCAACAAATCGGGAATTGGCGTCAAAGGTCAGCATTTGGCTGTCCTCCTCAGCGCTGTTGTGTCACCACCTGCACTCCTCCACTTCGTCGAACCCCCCCGCCACGATCCTTATGCAAACTCGCCCCGGAGGCCTCTAGCGGGGTAGCGAGGCACCGGTGTTCACGCCGGCACATAGTCGCCTGTGCGGACGTACCGCGTCGGCCGCAGCTGCAGACCTGCACAAGAGGCTTGCTCTGTCACCATTCCTTACTGACTCGGTTGACTCCCCGAACAGGACACTCGTCCCTACGTTAACCTGCGAACGCCGCAAATTATATCAAATAACCCGCCATGGGTGTTCCAGCATTGGTAAGACTCTGACTCGATGGCGCTCACGCCACCCGCTTCGCCCTTGGTGGTGCCTACTCTTCTAACGCTCCGCGGTGCCTACAGTTCCGATGGCTGTCTCGCAAATATCCGAAGGTGTGTATGCCGGTCGTTGAAGAACAAGCCGTCGTGATCCCCGGCAAAGATGGACAACCGGACGAGACGATCGTGAGTTGACCCGTTCCCCTCGAGGAGATTTGTCTCACCAAGCCGCGAGAACTGACTCGGCTCTCCTCCGTATCGCAGCCTGTCGACATGTCGGGACCGAATCCAAACGGAGAAGAGTATGACTGTTTGTACCTGGACATGAACGGAATCGTGCATCCGTGTACCCATCCCGAGGGGAAGGTACGTCTCGAAAGGCTCTGTCTAGCTCATCATCGAGATACTGACGAGGAGGATACCCTCCGGACAGCCCGCGCCAAAGACCGAGGAGGAAATGATGCGCGAGGTCTTTATCTACACGGACCGCGTCGTTTCGATGGTCCGACCCCGCAAGCTGCTCATGATGGCCATTGACGGCGTGGCACCTCGCGCGAAAATGAATCAACAGCGTTCGAGGCGGTTCCGAGCGGCGCAAGAAGCGAAGCAGAAGGAGGACGACCGTCAGAACGCGATCGCCGAGCTCGAGGCGATGGGCAAAGAAGTCAGCGACGAGTACCGGAACGAGAAGGGATGGGATTCGAACGCCATCACGCCTGGGACGCCCTTCATGGATCTCCTCGCCAAGAGTTTGCGGTATTGGGTCCGGAAGAAGATCAACGAGGATCCGGGCTGGGCAGGGGTACGTCCCTGACTAGTGTGTGCCTTGTCCGCGCGAGGTTGAGCTTACTCTCCACACGCAGTTGGAAGTCATCATTTCGGACGCCTCCGTCCCCGGCGAAGGAGAACACAAGATCATGGATTTCATCCGCCGTCAGCGAGTCTCCGGCGAGCACGATCCGAACACGAAACACGTCATCTACGGTCTCGATGCGGATCTGATCATGCTCTCGCTCGCGACGCACGAGCCTTACTTCAAGGTGCTGCGAGAGGACGTCTTCGCCGACGACAAGAAGCGCGGCTGTCATCGCTGCGGCCAGCCGGGCCACCACTCTCGCCAATGCACAGGTATGCAGACTTGCCCTTCCGTATCCTATGAAGCGCCCACGACATTCTGACCGCCCCTTTGTACGAACTGCAGGCGAAGTCAAGAAACCGGAAGCCGACTTGACACCAAAGGGACAACCGGCCCCTCTGAAACCGTTCCTCTTCCTGGACGTCTCGGTCCTGCGCGAATACCTCGCCGTCGAGCTCTCGGCACCGGTGCACTCGTTCCCGTTCTCGCTGGAGCGCGCCATTGACGACTGGGTCTTCCTCATCTTCTTCGTCGGCAACGACTTTTTGCCGCATCTCCCGTCGCTCGAGATCCGCGAAGGCGCCATCGACACCCTGATGGGCATCTGGAAGTCGAATCTCGAACGCATGGGCGGTTACCTGACCAACCACGGAAAGGTGGAGCTCGCCCGTGCCCAGATCATCCTGGAACAGCTCGCCATGCGCGAAGACGAGATCTTCCGCAAGCGACGTGAAGGTTCGTTGCACCTGTCCTGCCTCAGCTCGTTCGTTCAAGTGCTTACTTATCCTCCATCGACAGCTGAAGAGCGACAGGACCGTGCCGAGAAACGTCGTCGTATCGATCGCGAAAACCAGCAGACGGTATCTCAGCGTTCATCCGCGAGCAACCACGCTCAGCTCTCGCAGACCGGAGGGCAGACGCACCGCAACGGGGTGGATTACGTCGAGGTGAACGCGAACGGCTCGACTATCGCCCCGTCGACGCCTGGTCTGCCAGCCAAACCTGCCGCGGAGGCCTCGAGCGCTCCGGCAAAGTCTGCCGCTGCCATGGTAGGCAGCAACAAGTCCATCGTCGCGAATCGAATGGCTCTGCGGATGGCCAACCTCTCGGCCGCCGACATGCTCAAGGCCGAACTCGCAGGCGAGAATGCGGCGTCGTCGGCAGACGCCACGGATTCGGAAGCCGAGTTGGTGCAGGAGCGCGAGGCGGAAGAGGCTGGCCGCGCAGAAGCCGAGAAGAACAGTGCCGCAGCGGCCAAGCTCAAGGCCGAGCTCCTCGCGTCGGACCCGCCCGAAGAAGACGCATCGCCGCGCGGCACGAAGCGAACTGCTTCGGTAGCCGCGGAAGACGACAGCACCGACTCGGCATTCGATCAGGAACCTGGCGACGACGACGACGAGGACGCGGACGTCAACGCCTTCCTCCAAGACAGCCTCGTGCCGCCCAAGCCGGCAATGGTAGCCGGTCTCAACATTGAGCAACCTCCCCCGCTCAAGCTGCTCGGCAACAACGTGGTCGAACAAGACGACGCGGTCAAGTGCGTATGGACGTGTCTGTGCGATGCCGCTGCCTTTCCAGTGCCTGACCTACCCTGCGTTTAGGCTGTGGGAGCCCGGTTACAAGGAGCGGTACTACCGCCAGAAGTTCGGTGTCGAGCTGAGCGACGTCGAATTCAGGCGCAAGTAAGTTGTCGCGCCCGTACCATTCGATAGTGGACGTCGGCTGACCCGACCGCACTTCACAGGATCGTCAAGTCCTACGTCGAGGGACTTTGCTGGGTGCTCGAGTACTACTACCAAGGAACGCCGTCGTGGCAATGGTACTACCCCTACCACTTCTCTCCCTTTGCGAGTGACTTCGTCGATCTCGACAAGCTGGACATCCAGTTTGACATCGGGGCGCCATTCCGGCCTTACGAGCAACTGATGGGTGTATTCCCTGCGGCGAGGTGCGGCGGGATGTTCCCTTCCCCGGCATCCGGGACAGAAGACGATATTGACGCATGTTTCCTTTCGACACAGTCGCGTGCATCTGCCCGAGCCTTTCCAGACTCTGATGATCGAGAAAGAGTCGCCGATCTTGGACTTCTACCCGGAGGAGTTTCACATCGACATGAACGGCAAGAAGATGCTTTGGCAAGGCGTCGCCTTGCTGCCGTTCATCGATCAGCAACGACTGCTCGAGGCCATGGCCACCAAATACCCCGAGCTCACCGACTACGAGCACCAGCGCAACGAGCGTGGGAAGGACGTGATCCTCGTCGGCAACAAGCACCCGCTTT